AGCGGCCGTGGACGAGCTTGCGGAATGGCACGGTATGTTCACACCATGACACACGGACACGTCTCGTCTAACATTCAACATTCGACAGAAGAGGAAGATAGGAAAACGCACGGTGAGCTGTTGTGAGCACGCCGCATGGCGCCCGTGGAATTGACAGGGTTGTTGACAGAGGAGGAGATGCGGGCGGTGGTGCAGCTCTCGTATGACCGGATGCGCGAATCACCGTGCCTGTGGTCAGGGTGTGGCGCCGTACTGAATCCGTGGAGCGCTGCTATGATCACCCTCCGGCATCCGCATGCTGTATCCTCCAGACATTGGGGGAGGAATGGTGACCGGAGGTGGCTCCTCGATATTTCTTACGTTATTTAGCACAGCGGAGAGCGGGGGCGATGGGCTGATAGGCGGCGGTGGTCCCATCTCGTGTGGCGGCGGGAGTCGGATGCGCATATCGTCGTCGATTTTTGGTATCCAGCCGTCCGGCGGGGCTTCAACGGGAGGGTGCGACGGAGACATCATGGGGTTGAACACAGAAACGGGGCGAATGTCCGCTTCCTGATGTATCTGCTCCTGACGAGGTCTGACGGGTGCAGCAGCAGGGGTTGGTATACGTGCCGGCGTTGTCACGGGCGGGGGTATAGGCAGGGTGTCGTCCAGCGGTTGGGTATAGTTCTGCGTGGTGTTGGGTACAGAGTCTTCAGAGGATGATGGTCTGGAAACCCGGGGAGCTCGGTACTCCCGGCGAGGAGTCTCTTCAGCGTATGGCTCCGTCATGGCGCCCGCTGTATACGCTCGCTCCGTGTCTGCGCGTCCATCTTCATAGCCCACCGACCGACCTTGCTCGTATCCAATCATCCTGCCCTGCGCCAGACCCTCCTCCAGACCCTGCCGGCGTCCCGCCTCCCTCGCGGACACCACGATCGCCTCCTCCTTCATCTTCCTTGCCAGGCTCCGCGCCTTTGCCGCCGTCTCCTCCGCATCCACTCTCTGCGTGTCCAGCGCGTCTATGAGCTTCTGCGCCCGCCGGATCTCCTGTTGCGCGTTCTCGTACTGCAGCTTGTACAACCGCAGCGCCTCGTTCGCGCGCGCGGCCTCCTGCTCCGCCGCCATCTTCGCCTCGTTGGCGTTCTTGAAGAGCGCGAGCACCTCGCGCGTCTTGTGCTCCGCGGCGTCCGCGCGCTGTCGCTCGGCCTTGAGCTGCTCGGTGATGGTGTAGAGCGTGCGCTTGAGGTCCATGGTCTCGCGCTCGCGCGACACTAGGACGCGGGCGACGTCGCGCATGGACCCGCCAAGTATGCTGGGTCCATCTTTTGAGCGGCGCTTGCGAGGGATTTCGCTGCTGGAGCGACGGGAGTGGGGTTCGATGGGGGAGGGGGAGGCAGACGATTCCGAGTCTCCATCCATGCCAAATTTGATGATATACCGACGAGTGTCCTTGGTACCGGCACTTGCTTTTCTGAATAGAGGTTGGGTGTACTGTACAGGCTGTCGATTTGGCTCAGTACACGCGCAGAAGGGACGGAGATGAGCACGCACCGTGACCAACCAAGTCGTGAGCTCGTTACGTCCTGCAGATCGCGAGGTCAAGTTTGCGTAAGAGAAGTATCCTGGACCGTCCGCGTATGGCAAGTCCTTGTACGCACCGTAAACAATGATACAAACAGAGAGCGTAGACAAAGATATGCGCAGAAACCACGCGAGGATACGCGAAGAGAGGTTTGGAGATGACCGTGGTGGCCAAACACTGAACGCTCCACCGGAAGCGCCCATAACACACAATAGACGCGTATAAACGCCCGTTGTTTGACGTAAACCCGGGCCTATCGGTCACTCTCCCTCCCGCACCATGCACCTCTCCGTCTTGTAGATGCCCCCGACGCACCCGAACATCCACGCGACCCGACCGCCACTAGCCCACCGTCACGTCATCGTCGCTCGACGTACGCTCACGTCCTTCTAATCCCTGCTTTGTCTCTGCCCGCTCGTGCTTCACGCGTATATCGCCTCTGTTAGTCTCCTGTCCTGTCTCTCGCGCCGGCCGTCGCTCTCCTCCCAGTCTGTAGAACGGCTCGGGAAAGCGCTCTCCATTCACATATCGTACACCGGCACTGGCTACAAGCACACGCAGCCGCTCGCGCTCGTCCCCGTCCGTGGCGGCACTGGGCGACGCAGCCCAAGCGGGCAGCCTCACGCGGGGACCTACTGTATA